GTTTCCTGAAGGGATTACCAGCCTAACGGTTCTCCCAAGGAAAGCACTTTAGAAAGGCTCAAATCTAACTGAGAGTGTCTCGTCATGAACGTTGCCGTTCCTAGACCACGATGAGGTCCTCATCCAATTATGCAAGCGCAAATATGTAGCAAACTGAGTACATGCAGAGCGATAATAATTAAAAACTAACTGGAACGGCGTATCCTTTTCAACAGAGCCGAATTAGGTCGTTTATTTTTGGCAGTAAAAATGATCAGTGTTGGCGATGGCGTTGTAGCATGCGTCGGAGCTCCAGGATATTGCTGTTTCAGCAATCTCTCATGTAATATCCGTGAACGAATTTCGTCTGCTACCAAGTTTTGTAGCGATACAAATTCGATCGGATCAATATGGGCATTCTAGATGAAAACAAATTTAGATCTTCGATGGGCGAAAAATTTTTTTTTTTAAATCTGTGGGACGCAATCAGCACTCGTCGTCAAGAGTAAGAAAATCATGACATATGGAGTTGGAGAATCATGACATATGAATGCAGCCGACCAAAGTCCATGTAACTTCTCAGGATATTGCCAGTAAATTTTCCGATTTCTAAAGCCGCTTTCAGTGAATCATTCTGACTTGATCGTTACTCGCCGATATCAAAATGTCCAGTGCTTACTTTATTAACATCCACTTTGGTAAAAATTTTTTTCAATTCAAATTTTTCTAGTTGCTTGTCGTATCCTTGTATGAATTCGCTAAATGATACTGCTTCATCACCATTTTGGTCAAGACCCTGAAAAACAGCTGTTTTAGTTTTACACACTAAGAAAAAATAGTGTTGGAATTCATCACAGTCAGAGAAATACGAGCATAGGTGGCTAATTCTAACCAAGCAACGGTTGCCTAAAAATCAATCAAAAGTTTGGCACTCCTTAACATAGGCTGAAAAATCAGCAGAATTCATTCCAGCTAAAGAATCGGTTCGAGACGCATTGATTTTTTTAAAATTCGATCTAGGCCAACTGTTAAAACAGACAATTTTTGTATGAAAAATTGCAATGTCAAAAAAACTTACGGATAACTTATCCAGCGCAACGACAGCAGCTTCTTGTCGTAGTTCGCTGAGGAAATCAATCAGCTCCAGTTCATTCATCTGTAATTAATGTAAATTCTTAAAAGTGCCCCCACCTTTCAAAAATTTATAAGCAAAACAAAACTGTTTTAAAGATATTATGTAACGGAAAATAACACTGTTATCGGGCAAATAAATCGAGTCTGCGAA